CAGGAAACACATGCATTTTTGGAAATTGGCAGGGAGTCCACTCTGGTCCAAATAAAGGATGAAAGGAAAGGTGTCCTGATAAACAAAGAAGATATAGTTAATTATGGTCATATCAGTGGGATGTGTGCCTGTGTGTGTACGTGAATTTGTATGTGTGCTTCAGGAGCCAGAATGTAAGTATCTTTCTACTGAATTTCAATGTTATTTTGGAGGGAACAGGGACTCATGGAGGTAGAAGAAGAACAAAACAGGAGACTACTAGTGATGTACCATGGCCAGATCACAAGTACAGCAAGGAGTCTGGACTCTGATGTTTATCGAGATTTTTTTTGCTTGAGCAAACTTCAATCAGGCCGCTGAAAATCCTCTTATGCTCATCTGTGCATTTCCTTGTAAAATTCAGTTTTATAAAGACCCTTGCTAGATCAGTTGAGCAAGAATTCTTCCTTTGATATCTAATCATTCTTGGTATTAGATGAGGTTTCTCATTCTCCACCTTCCCCCAGGTAATGGCTGATCACTCTAGCCTGTCTTCAGCTGGAATCCTGCTAGGTCAGTTTAGCCAGAATTCCCCTCACCTCTGATATTTCCTCTTAGCAATTTTCCCTCCACGGACCTTCAACCTGTTTCTTGGCTATAAACGACCACTTAGCCATGCTGTATCCTCATTGCCCATGCTTAGTCAAACTCAGTCACTCTTCTCCACTGCAAAATCCCATTGCAGTCGTCTCTACACCTATCACTCTGAACTGAATAGTCTTTTTTACTGGGCTTTCAGAAGAATCATTGTTATCACAGTGAATATGCTTTTTTTTTTCTTTTTTCCTTTTACTTAGTTTTGACATAGGTTATCACTCTGTCACCCAGTGGCACAAACACAGCTCACAGCAGCCTCAACTGCCTGAGCTCAAGCAATCCTCCTACCTCAGCTGGGACAGCTGGGATCACAGGTGCACACACTATGCCCATCCAGCTGTTTTAGTTTTTGTAGACATGGGGTCTCACTGTGTTGCACTGGCTGGCCTAGAACTACTGGGCTCAAGTGGTCCTTATGCTTCACCCTCTGAAGTGCTGGGATTACAAGCATGAGACACCAAACCTTGTCTTTTTTTTTTTTTTTTTTTTTTTTTTAACAATGTAAGCATCAAGAAGTCTCTGGAGATTTTTGAGCAGAAGGATGACACAGTGTATTGGATATTTCTTTTAGGGAAATAGCTAAGACAGGAAAATGTAAGATAGTTTATAAATGTTAAGTTGAGAGAAAAGTTTTTACATTACATTATTACAGAAATGTAGGTGGCCACTTACATTTCTGTAATAATCTGAATGAGACAAAAAAGGTGTAAATCTCTGCCTCCCACCAAACACAAATTAAGAATGCATTCGAAACATGAGCTGGATTCTAATAAATAAATTCTGCTCATACAATTGAAAATCAAATACTGTAATATTGATTTAGTAAATCAATATAACAGCAAAATATTTTTTTGGGTACTGGACAGAAATTTAGTATTATGCATACAACTATTAAAAAAAGATTAGGTATTCTTTATTTTGTCAAAGAGAAAAGCTTTAGAAACAATTCTTGTAAAAATGTCTGTCTACAAATACATTTACTTACAAATGAAGTAAAAATTTGAATTTCTAAATGTCTATAAATCATAACCTTAGAAACACTAAAAATTTTATAACAATTGAAAAATTTGTCCCTGTAGGTCAAATTCTTTCACTGATTTTTCCAGTGAACAATATGTCCTTGCAGATCAAATTTCTCAACTGATATCAAGTCTTGCAGGCCAAATTCAAATTGTATATTTATTAATAATAATTACCAAAAAATTTAATGATTTTATTATTTATTACAAAGAAAATGTTCTAATTTAAAACATGTATTAAACAAAAGCAGTTAAAATCTGACAATTTTTTTTTTAGCAGCAACATTGCATGTAAGTTAACAATAAAATATATATTTTTTCCCCAAGGTTGGTTATTTCAGCACCTCACCAACATAAAGACGCAGTTTCTATGTGACATTGTGCTCACCATCCTTGGCATGTTAACAGTCACTTTTAGGTTTGTTACCCTCATGACACCAAAATGACTGCTGCAGCTTCAGGCTTTACCTGCATTTGGAAATCTTTTGTTTGTTTGTTTTTTACCTTAAGTTATGGGATACATGTGCAGAATGTGCAGGTTTGTTACATGGGTATACATGTGCCATAGTGGTTTGCTGCACCCAACAACCCATCACCATTTTTTTTTTTTTTTTTTTTTTTTTTTTGGAATTTCAAATGGGGTTTGGTCTCCCAGGCTGGAGTGGTGCAATCTTGACTCACTGCAACCTCCACCTCACGGATTCAAGCAATTCTTCTGCCTCAGCCTCCCAAGTAGCTGGGATTACAGGTATGTGCCACCACACCCAATTAACTTTTTTTTTTTTTTTTGTATTTTTAGTAGAGATGGGGTTTTGCTATGTTAGACAGGCTGGTCTCAAACTCCTGACCTTGTGATCCGCTTGCCTTGCCTCCCAAAGTGCTGGGATTACAGGTGTGAACCACTGCAACCGGCCAGTTTTAAGCAACTGATGCATTAGCTATTTGTTCTGATCCTCCCCCACCTCTCACCCACCCCCCCTCACTTCACCCTCAACAGGATGCAGTGTGTTGTTTCCCTCCCTATGTCCATGTGTTCTCATTGTTCAGCTCCCACTTATGAGTGAGAAAATGCAGTGCTTTTTTTTTTTTTTAGTTCCTGTGTTAGTTTGCTGAGGATGATGGCTTCCAGCTTCATCCATGTCCCTGCAAAGGACAGGAACTCATTTCTTTTATGGCTGCATAGTATTCCATGGTATATATGTATTACATTTTCTTTATTCAGTCCATCATTGATTCACATTTGGGTTGATTCCATGTCTTTGCTATTGTGAATAGTGCTTTAATAAACATACATATGCATGTATCTTTATAATAGAATGATGTATATTCCTTTGGGTATATACCCAGTAATGGGATTGCTGGATCAAATGGTATTTCTTGTTGTAGATCCTTGAAGAATGGCCACATCTTCCACAATGGTTGAACTAATTTACATTTCAACCAATGATGTAAAAGCATTCTTATTTCTCCACAGCCTCGCCAGTATGCCTTGTTTTTGACTTTTTAATAATTGCCATTCTGAATGGCATAAGATGATATCTAATTGTGGTTTTTATTTGCATTTCTCTAATTATCAGTGCTATTGACCTTTCTTTTTATGTTCGTTGGCTACATACATGTCTTCTTTTGAGAGGAGTCTGTTCATTTCCATTGCCCACTTTTTGATAGGGTTGTTTATTTTTTTCTTGTATATTTGTTTAAGTTCCTTGTAAATTCTGGATATTAGGCCTTTGTCAGATGGTTAGATCACAAAATTTTTCTCTCATTCTGTAGGTTATGCGTTCACTTTGATGACAGTTTCTTTTGCTGTGCAGAAGGTCTTCCATTTAATTAAATCCCATTTGTCAATTTTAGCTTTTGTTGTAATTGCTTTTGGTGTTTTAGTCATGAAGTCTTTGCCCATGCCTATGTCCTGAATGGCATCACCTCAATTATTCTAGGGGTTTTTTTTTTATGGTTTGGGGTTTTACATTTAAATCTATCATTCATCTTGAGTTCATGTTTTTAGAAGGTGTAAGGAAGGAATGTAGTTTCACTTTTCTCCATATGGCTAGCCAATTTTCTTAGCACTGTTGATTAAATAGGGAATCCTTTCCTCATTGCTTGTTTTTGTCATGTTTGTTGAAGATCAGATGGTTGTAGTCGTAGATTTATGGTCTTATTTCTGAGTTCTCTGTTTTGTTCCATTGGTATATGTGTCTGTGTTTGTACCAGTATCATGTTGTTTTGGTTACTGTAGCCTTGTGGTACAGTTTGAAGTCTGGTAGCATGATGCATCCATTTTTGTTCTTTTGGCTTAACATTGTTTGGTTATACAGGGTCTTTCCTGGTTCCATATGAATTTTAAAGTAGTTTTTTCTAATTTCATGAAGCATATCAATGGTAGTTTGATGGGACTAGCATTGAATCTATAAATTACTTTGGGCAGTATGGCCATTCTTATGATACTGATTCCTTCTATCCATGAGGATGGAATTCTTTTCCATGTGTGTGTGTCCTCTCTTATTCCCTTAAGAAGTGGTTTGTAGTTCTCCTTCAAAGGTTCTACATGTCCCTTGTTAGCTGTAATCCTAGTAATTTGATTCTCTTTGCAGCAATTGTGAATGAGAGTTCATTCATTATGTGGCTCTCTGCTTGTCTATTGTGGGTGTATAGGAATATTTTTGATTTTTTTTACATTAATTTTGTATTTGAGACTTTGCTGAAGTTGCTTATCAGCTTAGAAAATCTTTGTGCTGAGACTATTGGGTTTTACAAATATATGATCATGTCTTTTGCAAACAGGGATAATCTTATTTTCTCTCTTCCTATTTAAATATCTTTCTTTCTTTCACTCGACTGATTGCCCTGGCCAGAACTTCCAATAATATATTGAATAGGAGTGGTGAGAGGGAACATCCTTGTCTTGTGCCAGTTTTCAAAAGGAATTCTTCCAGCTTTTGCCCCTTCAGTATAATACTGGCTGTGGGTTTGTCATAAATAGCTCTTATTATTTTAAGATATTTTCCATCAATACCTAATTTATTGTGAGTTTTTATTATGAAAGGATGTTGAATTTTATCAGAGGCCTTTTCAGCATCTGTTCACAATATAATGGGGTTTTTGTCATTGGTTCCTTTTATGTGATGGATTAGGCCTATTGATTAGTGTATGTTGAAGCAGTCTTGCATCTTGGGAATTAAGCCAACTTGATCATGGTGGATACGCTTTTTGATGTAGTGCTGGATTTGGGTTGCCAGTATTTTATTGAGGATTTTCACATCTGTGTTCATCAGGGGTATTGGCTTGAAGCTTTCTTTTTTTGTTGTGTCTCTGCCAGGTTTTGGTATCAGGATGATACTGGCCAAAAATATGTAATGCTTCATGAATTTGCATGTCATCCTTATGCAGGGGTCATACTAATCTTCTCTGTATCATTTCAATTTTAGTATATGTACTCCTGAAGCAAGCACTCAAATTTTATTTTTTTAGTTGTTTTATCTTTGAGAAAAAATATTGTTTCACTTCTCCCAATGAATAGATGTTTATTTCAAGATACATTGCAGTCCATTATTGTCAACGCTTCAATCTTACTAGCCATTGCCTTCTTCAAGTGGCATAATTTGTTTTCCCGTAAGTGCAGGGTCACTTATGTTCAGCCAATTGTATATATATTTCCATATATGGATTCAATAATTGTTAAATTAAGTTTAACCTAAAGCTACCTCCTTGTAAGTTCAGTTTAAAAGTTCCTTCATACATAGTGAACTGTGACCTTAAGTGAATGTTTAAACAGCCTGTAACCTGTTCTTGTACAAATCACCAAGTTTCAGCCAAAGGTGATGAACTAGTCAGGGTTAGCATAAGACAAGTGCCAGGCTGTAACCAATCCAACTGTTTCTCTCCTCACTCCCATCATCTGTAAGGGTGGTGCGGTCTTGGTGCACAATTCATGAATTGTCCTTTGCTCAGTTAAACTCTGTTAAGTTTAATCTGTCCAAAAATTCTCTTTCATATAACACATTCCCTAAAAGGAAAAATTCTATGTCTAGATTTATATTTCAAATTTACAAAAATAATTTTACTCATTATCCCCACTGAAATTTATTTTTGTTTCTATTATCATTTCTGGTATGTTGGACTCATATTTTGCTGAATATATGTGGCATCATTAATCTAAAAATAATACTTTTGACTCCCTTTCACTGCTTACGTCAGAGGCATTTGAACCAGAGCAACTCCATCTTGAACAGGAGCTGAGTAAAATATGGCTGAACCTAAGGGCTGCATTCCCAGAAGGTTAGACATTCTAAGTCACAGGATGAGACAAGAGGTTGGCACAAGATACAGGTCATAAAGACATTGCTGATAAAACAGGTTACACTAAAGAAGCCGGGTAAAACTGATTCAAAACCAAGATGGCCACAAGAGTGACCTCTGGTCATCCTCACTGCTACACTCCCACCATCACCATGACAGTTTATAAATGTCATGGTAGCATCACGAAGTTACCCTATATGGTCTAAAAAGGAGAGGCATGAACATGCATACATAGTTTAGCATACATCGTTCATGTAATCAAGAAATAACCATAAAAACAGACAACCAGCAGCCCTTGGGGCTTCTCTGCCTATGAAGCAGCCATTCTTTGGTTTTTAATTTCCTAATAAACTTGTTTTCACTTTACTTGGACTCACCCTGGATTCTTTCTTGGGTGAGATCCAAGAGCCCTCTCTTGGGGTCTGTAGTGGGACTCCTTTCCTGTAACACATGTATCAGAACAATTTCCTATTCATTAAGTTTCAACTGTTGGTTGTAGTATATTTTAGTACAAATATCCAGGAACAAATTCTCAGTTGAATATATCTGAGAGAAAAATTGTCCAATGATCAAATATTTTAAAGCTCTTAGAAGATGAAGTATGACTGTAGTTCAAACACATATAACGTTTTAGTATTTCTTGTAAGGATATGTTCTTCCAATGTAACTATAACTTGAGTTGGTAATATGTTATTTATACTTTAACTGGAAAATATGAGAATTGTATTTTTTATTATAGAAATTTCAATAATTTTACATTTTGAGTATATTCAAATAGTTAAAAGAATTAAACTGGAACTCTGTTTGTACATTAAAAGTGGAGATAGCTGGGTATGGTGGCTCATGCCTGTAATCCCAGCACATGGGCAAGGCCGAGGTGGGCAGATCACCTGAGGCCAGGAGTTCAAGACCAATCTGAGCAACATAGAGAAACCCCATCTCTACTAAAAATACAAAATTAGCCAGGAAAAGTGGTCCATGCCTCTAATCCCAGCTACTTGGGAGGCCGAGGCAGGAGAATTGTTTGAAGCTGGGAGGTGAAGATTGCAGTGAGCCAAAATCACACCATTGCACTCCAGCCTGGGCAACAAGAGTGAAACTCTGTCTCAAAAATAAAAAAATAAAAATAAAATAAAAGTGGAGATAATTTTATCAATAATATATGTCATTATTTATAAGTGAGAATGGACTATGCAGATAGTGGGGTTCCAAACACATCACTCAAAATATAACTGTTGGTGTTCAGAATATGTCACCCTAAAAAATCTTCTCAGACATATTGATTATTTTGTACTGGTTACTCTGAGAAACAGACACAGAAGTAGCTCGAAAATCTGTCCTTCTGTAAGAGAAATTTACATCTATAAAGAAAATTTCTGTTTGTGTGTCTTCCTCTCTGCACCAGGAATTGAGACAGGACTTAATGAAGAAAGCATGGACTTAAATCTGCATAACAAACCATGCCTTCTTCGAGGTGGTTTTCCTCATCATTTCATCTTAACCTGGCCTTTCCCTGCACACTTTTTTTTCTTTGAGATAACGGTGATATTTAAGTCTGAAGTTTAAAAGTATTTTTTGAGATATACTTTGAAAAATTACTCATGTTCTGGTGTCTCCCATATATATATAAAACTATAAATGTTAATAAATTAATAAGTGTCTGTATGTTTTTGCATGTTAATTCGTGTGTGTGGTTTTTTTTTTAACAGAAAGCCCAGTATAAAACTATGAAAGGTAAAGAAAAAATAATTTTTCCCAGTGTACAGACATGAGTTGCAATAGCCCTTAGCTATCTGCTACTGTTAATGATGATAATATTTGGGCTATTTGTCTAAATAACATACCTATGCCACTTATTTAACTGATGCCAGAACCAGAAATAGATCCTCAGATTTAATTTTTATTCTATTTTTTGTTCACAACATCATTGCACTCTCTTATGTTTTAAAGTATCATAATACAACCTATCATTTAGTTTCTAGTATGTACTGTACTTTGCTTTAATTTACAGAATTACTAAATTATAAAACAATAGAAATAGTACGATGATACTGCTTGTTTTATAAGAATATAAGAATATAGTCTTAGTCTTAATTGTATTAAGATAATATTTTAATTAGAAAAGTTTATCAAATCTTAATCTAAAAGAGTAAAATGTTTATATAAAGAGCATAGCTTTAATTTTTGTTATTTCACTAAATCAAATTGTTATTGTAGGTAGCTGTTGAGATATGAACAGGGCAGGAGAGGGCTCCCCCACTCCACACGAAGCTGGCATGTCAGGCCATCAGGCAGTTAACTGTCTCTCTTAAAATAATAATTGGTCACAGCCAGCTAGGGAAAGGCAGCCTCCCAATAAATGGAAAATACCTGAAACTGGTGATCAGCACTTCCTGATAAGATCTCAGGAGTTGGGTAAGCAGGCTTAAGCATGTGCATTAAGATGCAAAATGATGGAGTTCAACTTGTATATGAACTCCCAGGGATATCTGAAAGGTGAGGGAAGAATGCCTTAAGTAAGCATACCTACAATTCCAGTAAACCTTCCACTGGGCATGCTCCCTTCCCACGTGTTCATAGGCCACTGCGCATGGGTGCATCCCATCCTAAGGGAAGAATCAGGGCACAGGGGATGCAAGACCCTGAAGTATGCCAACATAGGAAACCCCAAATCAAAGGGCAAGTTGTGCACTTGTCTTGTAACTCACCTGTTTAGCTTTCTTCCAAGTGTGCTTTGCTTCCTTTTGTTCCGGCTCTAAAGCTTTTAAATAAACTTTTACTTTTGCTCTAAAACCGACCTTGATCTCTGCTTCTGCCTTAGGCCCCTCAGTCATAAAGGGCTGAGGTTGCTGCAGACCCATATGGATTTGCCACCAGTAGCATACTTTGGTGCCATGTGACTCGGATATGTTCTTCTACTAAAATGTTGTCAAATGATACTCAAAAATCTTTTCTTTGCCATTGATTAGTTATCTGGTTTTAAGTGCCTTATAAGAAATTTAAGATATTTAAGTTTTCTTCACATTAAAAATGATTTCAGTTGAGAGGCCATTAGTCTGAGACAGTTTCCATGCCTTGAATGCCTACATAAGTAAGCTGAAGCCCAATGTGAAGATTGAAATGAAACGTAAGCTAAACCTGTCAAAACTGCCAGTTATCCTCTAAGGACATTCCACAGGATTATACCTAAAATAAACAAATGCCTGGCTGTAGCCAATCAAATAATTTCTTTACTTCGTGTCTACATTCAGCCTATAAAATGTCATTGTTCCTGCTGCTAAAGTGGAGCTTTCTTAACGTCTTCTTGGTCATGAGGACTGTCTGATCTGTAAATTGGTCTTTGCTCAGACAAACCCCGTTAAATTAATATGTCTAACTTTTTAACGTATTTGTTTCTTCCTATAAGTCAATTAGAGTTTTAACAATATATTTTAATGATATGCTTTGCAACCAGTGCTTATGATTTTTCCATACTTAGAATGGGAAGAACAAAAAACTCCCATACATTTTATCCTTATTCAAGGAAACTTCAGTAATATACCAAATAATACAGTATTTTCTCTGTGTGACATGTATATAGGTACTTATAGGCCTAGACTTTTTCAGGAATACTATAAAAATAACTCCTATTTTTTTCTTCTTTAATTTTAGCTGATCATTTTTAAAAATAATATGCATTGACCGAATAACTCTGAAGTTAGGTATGCCGACTGAAATTCCACTAAAATATTTGTACAGGTTTGATTAATTAGGTAACTAATGGGTAGCTGCTTCTATGTTTTCTCTGTTTTAAAGATGTTAAATACATTGTGAATTTAAAGTTTCTAAAGGAATATGGTAAAATTTGGAATCTCAAAATTAGTTTGAAAGCTACTATCTTTGTCCTGAACAGCTTGTGTTTAAAATTGTATTCTGGCTTTTCAATACCTTTTAAACTGGTTTTAGAGTTCATAAGTCATTCGCGTACTTTGTATTTTGGAACTTTTCTGTCCTCGTTATTAAGGATATTCTCTTTTATCTCTCTCATCCTACTTTCCTACTGGAAATTTTTATTTTTACACAAAGCTTTTGTGGTCTTTGGGGTGGTCCCTTTCCATCCTCTCCTAACCTCAATCCCTATAATTTTCTTTGGAAAATAGTATAACCAGTAAAT